GATACAGTAGGGGCCTCAGACATGCACGCAGGGGCAGGACAGAAATGCGTGGATCCCGGCCATCTCTGCTACAGTGGGTTCGCCGGGTGGTCCCAAACCTCAGAATGGTATTTGCAGCACAATCCCATTATTTGCTTTTACCCTGAGGTGCTTCATTTAAAAACACTTAGTAACTAAGCTTCAGCTGATTTTATTTCTGTGCTAATTCATTTACGATGTTTAGTTCATGTAGGATGATTGCAAATCCCTAGTGGGGGGGAAGCCAGGCAAATTCCAAGGACACGTAGTAAGTGTGCTGCTAGGAATTATTACTCTCAGTCTACAAGTGAGAAAATGGGGCAAAAGCCATGAAGCCAGTTGCTCAAAGTCACCTGGGGTCAGGATTCCACACCCCTCCTGTGAGACAGGCGCTTGGGACCCAACCCGTCCTGCCACACCCAGGGTGTCCCACCCTAATCCGGAAGCCACGTCCCAGCAGGTGTACCAGGGCACATTCTGCTCAGGGCATCTATTTTCCCAGGACATGATCTGACACAAAAAATCAAATGCAAAGGACTCTCTTACTCCTCCCCCAAAGCCCCTCGACTTCTTTCTCAGGCCCTCGGGGACCTTAGGTGAACCTTGAACCTTAGATAAGCATCATTCCTGTGTAATAGGCACTCCCATTCATTATTATACACTGCCTGTGTACAGTGAGGTACTTTATATGTTTGTTTCTACCAGAATTGCAATTCTTGATTGTAGATAGGTCAAAAGTAAAGGAGAGGTGTTTTTCACTACTGGTCATCTTTCATGCCCATGCACTGCCAGTACAGGAGATTCACAGGCTGAAGATCCCTCCACGGAAGGGTGCTCCAGGGAAGAAGTCAGTGACAGAACCATGCCAGTCTTATTTTAAATAATTTAGTGTCGAGAAATAGTTCTTAGCTATGCCTGATCACTATATTAAATGTAGTTAACATTTTAAATTCTTATTTATGGTTTTCTTCCTCCATTTTTCTCAGGAATAATGAAAAGCACAGTGTTTTGGCTGCCAAAAGTTTAGCAGCGCATAGGAGGCCATAGGAGGCCACCTTTTGCCATGAATTAGACCTTTAAAGGCTAAAAGATACCATGAGAAGACGGGTTTTTATTCTGCATCCAAGAGGTGGCTCAGGAAGTAACTTGAGTCCTAGTGGGGGTTTGTGGATGATGGAAGGAAGGGGTGAGCAGTGGTCACTCAGGCAGAGCCCGGGCTCACTCCCGGCCCAGCCATGGCCTCGAGTGACCAAGTCCCGGGCCGACTTTGTGCAGCACACCAGACTTCCCCAACGCTGTGCTGCTTTGGGCACAAGCTGTCAACACGCTGCTGCGGCTGGAGCCGTCTGCCAACCGTGCCACCACGTGCAGCGCGTGTGGGAGCCAACCCTGTGCCCTGGGTGTGCGCTCCCTGTCCCCATGCATGTGTTTTTAAGAGGTGTGTTTGTTAGCTGGCCAGTTCACATCTTCATGGTGACTCACAGAATCATGTTTATTTTTATCTTACCCTGAGTTTTGCAAAACCATCTATACCTAATGTTATGTGATGAAATCTGATGTATGCTATAGAAGCATACTGATGGAGATAATTTAAAGATGAGAAGCAAATTCAGGAAGTGGTGTCTGGAGGGAAGGATTCGGGCCCACCCGCATGGCGGATGGAGCTTTCCTAGGTAAATCCAGCTGCCAAAGTAAGTTAACTGCTCTCCCCTGGGATTCTTAAGCTGACAGTTGCCAAATACTTCACTGTCAGTTTCCTGAGAACGTCCCTGACTGGCTCCACAAGATCGCCCCGGCCGTCCCATGGTTTCCATGGCTTCTACCACACAGGGATACAAGTATTCAGAAGCAGCCTCAAAGTTCAAGACCTCCCTGCTCCCGGCGCCAGACTGCTCGGCTGGCTGGCAGAAGGGCCACCTTGCAGGCCATTTCTCACTTGCCAGGAGATCCCAAAGGACTGTGGCTATCAAGACATTTTGTTGTGACAGGGAGAGGCTTTAGCCAACTTTGAACCCCACAAAAACCCAGAACAAGCCAAGCAGTTGAGGAACAAAATCAGGATGGAATGCCCTGGACCTCAGAAGCCCTGTGAGCACCACCAAGGCGGTACTCCCAGAGTGCAGGGCTCGGGGGCCATGGCAGCATGGGTCTGACCCCAAACTCGGGCTGTCATGGTGGAGCTCTGGGTCTGTCCTGCCCCCCAGGGCCACTCAGCACATACCTCCCCCCCACTTCCTTGGGGGAAACTGCCTTTCTCAGTAGGGTGGGTTCGTAGGCGCCTCCCCCTTCATGCTGGCTCCAGGGAGGCCACGGGGGTGGCAGCTGAAGGACACACAAGGGGCACAGCCATCGGCAGGAGGCACCGACCGTGGCACCAAGAGGGCGCACAGCGGGAACCAGCCACGTCACAGCCTGGAACATTTTTCTTTTTGCATCTGTAGCAACAAGTCTCACTTGCTTCCAGACTCACACATAAAATGCCAGGGAGTAGGTGTCGCAGTGAGGCTCTGGCTGGGCTCCGGGCCCTGGGCTAGCCTAGAGCTCCCCGACAGGGCACTGCTGCCAGCCCTGGGCTCCAGCTGGCCTAGGGATCCTTGACGTTCAGCTCAATGCAGCTCACCGTTTCTACGACTCACACAGCAGCAGTGGGAGAAGGGGAGCATCTCTCTGGGCTTCCTTTTGATGCATCTCAGTAGGAAATCAAAACCCTTGGAACCCTTAGCTGTCCAAGAGGCAGTGGGAACGCCCCAGCATCATAATGATGCATTTGCTCTTGACGTCTGTTGGTTTCTTAGTGGAGGGAGCCTCCGTGGCTGCTGTCATGGCAGAACAGCAACTCCAGGCCTTTCCGTCCATCAGGCTCTGCCTGAGTGGCCAGCGCCACAGAGAACAGGCATCAGTGGGCACAGTGCCAGGCTCTGCCCAGCGGAGGACTTGGCGATCTCCCCCCACCATGGAGACCTGGTGCATCTGGGCTGTTTCATGTCTGGGGGCCAGTGTGTGGCCACCATCCTTCAGTACCTTTTGGCACATGCCTTTTTGGCCCATGGAAACTCGGCCACTTATGTAGCTGGAGGTCAGGATTGGTAAAATTCCCCGGAGGGAACACAGCCTTTCTCTGTTTCCTGCCGCCCTGGAACCCAATATATGCTTGTGCTTGGCCACTGTTTGCCCAAGGGGTCAACCTTACAAAACACTTGTATGTCTTCCAGAACTGACGTGTTTGACCTGTCTTCACCTTCACTGTCATGCTGTGCTCTTAGTTTTCTTTTTCTCCTATTTTTCACAGAATGAAAGTATTTAGATACTGTATTTATTTAGGCTCCAGGCCCTTTTGCTGTGTGCTTCAGATAATCTCTACGTTTTGTGTTTGCCTTTTAATTTTATGATCTTGGATGGTCAGTTTCTAGATGTTTTGTGACTCACTCTGTCACTCTTTCCTTTATTTCTCCCACTGCTTTTATTTTAAAAACTTCCCACTCAGACATCAGGTATTCATCTTTGATTTCATTTTTGTGGCTTGATTTTTTTTTTTAACACTGAACTCTTTAATAGATCTGAGATTTGTTTTTTGTGTAAAATGTAGAGAGAAAAATATATATATTTTCCCACTATATCTAGACAGCCCCTTGGAAATTTTAATGTAAGATCTTTTAAGTTTTTCACCAGGCTTGTTATGGCCTTTGGTTTCCATCACCAATTGATAGGTGACTAAACAATTCTCAACATTCCAGATAGATCTGAACTCAGTGTTAAGAACATCAATCCTCTTTGAGAGGATTTTTAGATTTTCTTAAACAGAGTCGACAATTGAGCTTTGCAGGAAGTTGGCAAGAGGTATCTACTTTCCTGTGCTCGCCAGTTGCGGCATAGGGCAGGGACAGACGGATGGGACAGGCTCTCTAGGAGGTTTTGCTGCACCCCTGTGGACACTTTGGGTGTCCCTCCTCTGTGGCGCGTATGAGGCATTTAAGGTCCAGGGCATTCCATCCTGCTGATTTTGTTCCTCAACTGCCTGGCTTGTTCTGGGTTTTTCAGAGTTAAAAAGGTGGAAAGCCTCTCCCAGTCATAAGAAAATGCCGAAGCTACCCACTCACAAATGATAAAGGGTGCGCAAGAGGAATTCTGCAGCCGCCTCCTGAGAAGGGGAGCCCAACAGCACTCCACCTGGAGGGCAGGAAGGAGCCTCAGCTCGGAGACAGGCCACGGCCCGGATGCCCAGCACCGTCTCTCCTGCCCCTGCCGGTTACTGGGGCGATGGTTTCCCAGAACTGGAGGCTCAGGCTGTAGCCAGTGCTGCACTGAATTCCTTTTAAGGCAGCAGTATGGGTGGACCGTGTGTGGTGTGTGCATCCATCTGTGGATGTACCCCAGGCTGCCTCACTGTTGGCTGCTGTGACGGGTGCTGCTGTGGACGTGGGTGGACGAGTGTCTGAGTCCCTGTTGGGTAAATGCCTGGATGTGGAATCGCTGGGTCCTGCAGTAGCTCTGCGCTTACCACACTCGGAACCAACGACTTTTCCACAGCAGCTGCACCATTTTACATTCTCACCTTGTCATATTCTGTTTTGTTTTTTATTATGACCGTTCTTTGGGAAAGACTTTATTAAATAAAGTACATGTCACACAGGCCAAAACATGTTTGGAATAAAAGCTTGGTCAGTGATGTGGTTCTTAGCCATATATGTCACACAGATGGGTGAGCCTCTGAGGAAATGGTCTGTCCTGGCTCACCTGGGGCCACGTGTGGTCACCGGGCACTGTGCTGGGAGCCCCAGTCTCATGGGAATCTTTGGGTGCTCTCATCCTCCCAGCAGTGCTCTTTCTCTATTTATTTTTGCCTTAAAAATAATCCAACTTTTATAGCTGTTTGAGAATTTTGATAAAAAAATGTAAGAATTATTTATAGCCAATGTTTTGAGGTCCACGTCCCCCAGAACTAACTCCTGCCTCTTGGAAACCTTTGTGTTTCTGTTTTGCAGTTCGGGACCGAGTCAGATCGAAGATGGAGAGAGACATCTTGGCAGAAGTGAATCACCCTTTCATCGTAAAGCTTCATTATGGTAAATAGAGTAAAAATAACCTACTTCTGAGAGGATCTAGAGCAACCTTCCCCCAGTCAAAGGACAGGGACACATAGGACTGGGTCCAAACGGCGCCTTGTGTCTCGTGGCGGCCGTGCTGGGTGGAGTTGCCTCCTCCCCAGTCCCGCTAGCCCTTCTGTTTCCTCCTCTGCCAGGCACAATGCCCTGTTTTCATCTCTAAGACCTAATTTGAGGGCTGCTGTTCATTATTAGCTTATCATCATTGGTAAAGTGGTGAAGAAACAGGTCTCCTGACCCAGATTGGATCAATGACAGATGTTGTGTCCTTTCAAAATAAGATGCCTTAGGCCACTAACTTCTTTAGGCCAGCTTGGTAGCACCTCTTATATTTTTGAGTACTGCCCCAAGCATTTTAAGTTACAGCTCATGGAAAACCTCACATCTTCCTTTCAAGGGAGGTTATTGTTTCCATTTTCAGAGGAGAAAGCAGAGACTCAGATCTAGTTGTGATTTTTGAGGCCACACGCCTGCTCTTGTCCGCTTTGCCTTTTTATCTCCTTGGCGAAGCAGTAAGTGAAACCTTCAGATTGATAATGAGCCTCTGGCTCCAGTCATGCCGGAGCGCCTGCGGGTCACTCCCCTGGAACTGTCCATGTGAGCCAGGTGCAGAAAGGAATAGAACTGGTGGTGGTGGTTTCGGAGGCACCGGGGAAGGTGGGATTGTGGGAGCTCGACCAGCACATTTGCACATGAACCCAGAGCAAAGGCACCATTGGTAGGTGGGCTGAGACTTCCAGCTCGCTGCTGGCCAAGTTCTGGTATTACTAAGAAAACAGCCTTGTTTGGAAATTCTGAGGTTTGTCCTTCCAAATTAAGAGTAAAGTTGGCTGTGAACTTGCTGGAAGCCAGGCAATGACCCCGCTGGGTGGGGACCAGGACCCTCAGCCCTGCAGGCAGGTGCCCTGAGGCCACCATCTCCCAGTGGCCAGCCGGGCAGCTGACCTGCCTCTTAACTGCTGTCCCTCCTGCTGCCCATGTGCTCCTGTCATGCCCAGTCCCAGGGTGTTTTTCTGGAGAAGTTGAGAACTGGGCAGCTTACAAAGCTTTTTAAATGCATCTGTGCATCACCTCTGCGGTTGAGCAAAAGGTGCTTGCTTCCCATTAGCCCAGCGAGGACGCGCCGTCTGCGCACAGAGGGTTTTTTAGTTAAAGGCTCTATGTGTCTAAAGCCCCAACTTCCAGCATTTACTCTCAACAAAAAGAAAGTTTTCAAACGCTCTTACCAGATATTAGTACCCCTCCCGCTGTGCTTCCTGTGACTAGGAAATGGGTGCCAAAGCCTGGCTCAGCAGCGCATGGAACTGACTGACCCGCAGCAAAGGTGACAGCATTCCTTGACCCTCACACATGCATTCAGCCCCCTTGGTTAGGGAGCCCTTGCTAAATGCTGGGCAAGGGCTGAAACGTGAGCCCAAAGTTACAGCCCACGGAGATCAAACCTAAAGCATGAGCCCAACTGCCACGACAGACAGGCAGCCAGGCCAGCCAGTCACCACCACTGCTGTGAAGGGAGGAAGAGGTGAGGGATTTCCTTGAATCCCAAGCCATACAGGATGCATGTCTGTAGTAGGGGAGGAGAGAGGTCCCCGCTGGGCTGGAGCCGTCCTGCAGCTCCACCCCACACCCTACAGTGAGGCGGGCCTCACAGAGCAGCTGTACCCAAAGGCCCCAGCATACTAGCGTGGACATGTGAGCACATGGGAGCACATGGATACTTGGAATATCTTCTAATTCCTCTTATGATTAAAGAAAGGCAGGAAAAAGGGAAGGGAGGGAGGTAGGGAGACAAAAAGAAAAATCTCCAGACTCCTAATAAAGTGAGGGGCAGAACTCAGTCCTGGGGCCCCCGTCCCTAAGTTCTGCCTCACCCAGCTGCCTGCGGCCGGTTCCTGGCCCTTTGCGGAGTGCCCCAGATTTGAGCCGTGCAGTGTCCCCTCAGTCCAAGGGGGCTGTGCTCCGGGGGCCAGCTTTGCCTCCTTCCACAGCCTTTCAGACGGAAGGCAAGCTCTACCTGATCCTGGACTTCCTGCGGGGAGGCGACCTCTTCACCAGGCTCTCCAAAGAGGTAAGGCCAGGTGGGGGTGGTGGGCTGTGCATTTCTATCTGCTCATGAGGGGCATAGAGGGGTGGGGAGCACTGAGGGGAGGTCAGTGCGTGTGTGGGGGGCGGGTAATGTGCATGGCATGTCTAAAAGTGTGTGTGTTGTGTGCATGTGGGGGAGGGTGCATGTGTAGTACTTGGTGTGTGTGCATGTGTGAGGGTGTGTGTGATGTGTGGGGGTTGTATTTTGGAGAAGTCACACAAATCTGTTGTCCTTGAAAGATCTTAAGAAAATGGACTCTTCCAAAGACCCCTGGGAAGTTCTAGAACCTTCTGTTGCACTCTGCCGCCCAGGGTAGAGCAGATGGAAACAGTTTGATTGATGATAACAGCTGGGAAGGACTTTACTTCACAAAGCTGCACTTTGCGTCGTAGACAGATGCTGTGAGCAAGCTGCCTATGCATCATGGAGCTGCTGGAGCAGCAGCTGGTCAGGTCCTTGCACGGGAGGTGCCCCTGTCCCCATGACCCCCCCCTGCTTCTCAGTCCCAGGGCCTATCCTTGACGTCACAGTGCCAACATAGGGACTTCCCAGAATGTTACGCGGTGCCACGGAAGCTCTCTGCGTCATGGGGTGGAAGAAGCCAGCATTCTGCCTGAAGCTGTGATGATGCTGGGCTCACATGTGAGGTCTTCCTCTCTACAGAACAAGGAGTAATGGCACAGCCATGTGCTGGCATTTCCAGTCTCTCTGATGGCGCCCTGCCCAGCGCTGTGGTTTTTATTTGGCTACATTAGTGGGTTCAAACTGCTCTCCCTTTTCTCCCTCCCATGTTTTTAGCAAGAGATCCCTCCATCTTGGAGGAACCTGCAAAGTGACTAGATCAAGGTGGAGCAGACTTGGGTCCCCGAGCCCTGGGGCTGGGCTGCTCTGCCCTCTGCTTTCTAATGGTCCTTCAGGTCATTCGAAAGTGATGAGTTTGGGCTCCTGGCAGTGCTGGTGGAAAGCCTGGGGCTGGAAGAATGGGACCCAAGCTCCACCAAAAGCCCTTGGAGCAGGGGTCTGGTCCCTCAACAAGCCTCAGGAAGTCGGGACATTTTGGCTTGGGTTTTGTCCAGCATCTGGTATGATACACTCTGTTGTTGTGCTTCTTAACCAAAAAGGCACCAGTAGTTAGCAAGAAGCCCTGTAATGGCTCACCGGGAACACGTCTCCCACAAGACTTTATTTCACAGTAAGGCCGTGAAGGTGGGCACATGGGTCCTCAGAGCTCACGTCGAGGGGTGTCCATTTCTGTGCAGAGAATGTCTGCGTGGGGACTGCACTCAGACGTGCCCTCAGAACTGAGCGAGTGCAGAAGTACACTTCCCCTCTGAGCACCAAACTGCAGACACAGCTGTGGGGGTCATATGTACAAAGTCCAAAGAAAGAGAGTTGGACAGACAGCACAGTGTTTCTGTGAGTGAGCCCATGGGATACGGTGACCAATTCAGGAAAAACGCACCCACCCAGGAAAGGCTGAGCATGGAAGACAGAGCAGGAACTTCCAGAGGCCAGAAGGGCCAAACCCAGATGTCACTGTCCAGGATGGTGGGCCGTGTCCTGGTTGGAAACATCCTTTGTGTGCATGGATGTGCCCTTCTGTGTCCGCCTGACATAGGCACCATTCAGGTCCCTCAACTGCTGTCACTCTAATTCCTCACCTGTCAGGTGGCCTTCCGTTTATGCGTTGATTTTTCATGTCTGCCTTCAAGAGATAATTCAGTACTAAATGGACTTCCAGCCTCTGCGACGTTGACTTCTCATGGTGAATGTAAAAAGTGGTTCGTCATGGATAAAACATGGCTAGCCTGATGAGGGTGCCCAGGCCCGGGCCCTGACAGGTCCCCTCTCCAGCCTCCCCTGGCTGAGCGCTCACCTGCTGGCCCCGCACCATTTATGTTGTCTTTGGTAGAACTCATCCCACTTTGGGTAGACAGCAGGTTGCTTATTTGCATAAACCCAAGGGACAGAGATTTAAAATCAGAGAAGAAATGAGATTTGAGACCATTTTCAATAGCTCCTTATAAGGCCTGCATAGTGTGGTTTATTTGTATGAAGATGTTAACATTTATTTGTATGAAAATGTTACAAATTTACATCAGAACCACTCATATTAAAATGTAAGCTCGGAAGTGCTCTCCAGGGCGGCTTGGGGTGGAAGGTCAGGTCAATGAAGTCGTCCTTGTGGAGGTGCTCCTCCTCCTCTGCTGATCCTAAGCCCTCACGGAGAACTCCCTTTTCCCTCCCGAGAGCCGGCGGAGCTTTGCCGGGGAGACTGACCAGGCCTGAGCTTTGTGGGGGGAGGCAGGCTCCCCCTGGCAGCGGTCCTCACAGCACTCCAGCCACAAAACCAGCCGACCAGCCTTGCTCTCTCCTCTCTCGCTAGGTGATGTTCACGGAGGAGGACGTCAAGTTCTACTTGGCCGAGCTGGCCCTGGCGTTAGACCACCTGCACAGCCTGGGCATCATCTACAGAGATCTGAAACCTGAGAAGTAAGAGAGCGTCAGGGACGGTCCCCTGAACCCCTTTCCCGCTGGCCCACCTCAAGCCATTGCCCTCTACTTAATCCCTACCTGTGTGCCCACCAGGAAGTAGGCTGGGGACCTCCTCCTGCTGGCATCTCCCACACAGGGATTCCGAGGGGGTGAGCGGAGTGGCCTACCCACCTGCCCGCCCCAGGCAAGGTGCCTGGAATGCCTTGTGCTGATTGGTATAGGACGCTCCCCGTCCGTGCTCACCCAGTCCTCAAACAGCTCTCTGAGGGAGGCAGACCAGGGCCCGTGTCCCTGCCCAGGTGAGGCTGGGCAGGTCAGAGGCATGCCAGCCCCTGCTTCCTGCCGTGAGGCTGTGTCCCTCTGGTAGGTGGGACCTGGCAACCGTTTCCTCTCCTGGCCAGGTCTTCCCTGCCCTCCAGATTCAGGAAGTCCCCGCAGCCACTGCAGCAAGCTTTCTAGGCACAAGTCACAGGAGCTCTTCTGAGAGATTTTCTAGAAGACAGTGGCACCAGATTTGCGAGGCCCAAATTCCAATAAGAGTCAAGTCTTTGGCAACAGTTGTCTGTGATGTTATTTCTGGGAACTTTGCTAATCTATTCTAAATTAAAAGATTACAGTCCCTCCCTCCTGAACAATAGTGTTTCCATTTCCGTGTTTTTCTTGCATTTTCTGTGTAGAGCTGATACATAGTGTCTTGCCGAAGAGTTTCAGCCCCGGGCAAGATCACTATGGATTCAGTGTGACCAAAGAAATGACAGTAGAATGTTCTTGGGGTGAAAGGGTTATACCCAACTTTATTTCCAGGTGGCAGGTCAGTCACCAAAATCCCGTTCACTCAGAGCAAGTCTGCTTGCAGCAAGCCGGTCTCTGCCTCTGGGCCCCTCTGTCCTCAGTGCTGCCACCACTCCAGCCTCTACTCTGCTCTCCTGCAGCCTTGCAGCCCTGCCCCTGTCGCGCCCAGAGCACTGGGCAGAGCTCTTTATATAGTCAACAGCCATGTATTGCCCACATGTGTGGAGTGAGCTAGTCAACTACGGCCAGGTGAGAATCCTGGCCACAGGAACTCTCATTTTATCCACAGTAGGGTAGGCGTGATGCCCTTCAGGGTGATGAGCAGGTGCTCTGCAGGTGCAGCTGGCCGGCCTACAGGAGCCCCACACACAGGGTCCCTGATTTTCCCAGAGTTCACTGCTGAGGGAGGCCAGTCAAGAGCACCCACCAAGACGGATCTGCCCCTGCCCTGGACACAAACACCCAGCTTTTGACACAGGCACCCTTTACTGTTTCACCTACACTGAATGGAAGCAAAGACAAACTGTCCTCTGAAGCCATTTTTTTTTATGCAGCATGGTGGAGATTTATGGGCTGTACCTGGTTTTGTTCAGAAACCAGTAACATGCACATCCGTGATGCAGAGGCCATTTGCTTTGACCAGAGGGGACTTTGTGCCCTGCACGGGTGTGACTTAATGACCCGCACAAAATGCCATGAGCTGCATGTGTAAATAAATGTGTAAATAATGTAAAAGGCCCTGTCGTCTTAAGTATCTCCAAAGAGAGGACAATAGCTTATCAGCTGAAGCTGTGTCTCCTTCATTGAAGGGAGCAGGAGGCAAAGCTCAAGCCCCACTGAGGTAGCACCCTGCTTCCCACTCTTTTTAAAGGTCAGAGGGATCTTTACAATTAAAAATAGTAATACTGAATGGCAGGATTGGTGAGAAAAGATCTTGTCAATTAGAATTAGTAGGAACCTAATCTTGAAAGTTGTTCATATCTGGGCAAAGATCAAGTATAACTGAGACACAAAGAAAATCCTTTGCCTCTTGCATTAGAAATTGTCTTAATTATATGTCACAGCTTTTTCCTTCCTGTTTCCCTGAACTAGGTATTTTTTTAATCTCATGGTAGGTTTTTTATAATAGTGGTAAGGTAAATATAACATTAAATATAGCATCTTAACCATTTTTAGTGTCCTGTTCAGGGGCATTAAGCGCACTCACACTGCCATGCAGCCATACCCCCACCACCTCCAGAGTTCTCCTCAGCCTGCAGAACGGGGGCTCGGTCCCCATCTGACCCCCACTCTCCCCACCAGTCCCTGTGCCCTCCCTCCTGCCTCTGTCTCTCTCTCAGTCTGGCTGCCCCAGGCCCCTCCCATGAGTGGAATCGTGTAGTGTGCCACCTCCTGTGTCGGGCTCATATCACGGAGCGCAGCGCCTCAGGGTCCACTGCACTGTAGCAGCTGTTAAAGCTTCATTCTTTCCCAGTGCCATGTGGCGCCTCAAGGCCCTGCTATGGCTTCTCTCCAGTCCACTTCCTGGTCTCTACAGGGCTGGGCTGGTGTCTCCCCAGTGCTGGTGGAACAAAATTTAATTACAGCAAAAAAAAGGCATTGCCAGGCTATCGGCTGTGTCCGCCGCTCACAGGCTCTCCCTCTGCCTCCAGTGTGGAGTGTGCTCTGGCCTCCCACGCACCAGCCAGGGAGAGCAAGGCCAACCCCTCTTCCAGGGTGTCAAGGTGTCAAATGTTGGCGTGATGAGGGTTTGGACCCGGTGGGACAAGCACTAACAGTGAAGCCCACCAAGCCCCAGGGCTCCCTGGCGTGAGGCCCAGGGTGTCTCAGGCTTCCCAAGGTTGGATCTTGAGAGCCAGAGCTGGGTCTGGGGCTTGGGCCTAGGGAGGAGGGGGCGGCCTCTTGCACCCGAGGCCTGCATGGCTATAGAAGGGCTCCCTCCAAGAGGCCCCAGGTCTCCACAGGCTTAGGTCTCAAACCTGTGGCCCTGGCTTTTGCCCGGCCAGCCAGGTGCAAGGACACGGGCCTCTTTCCTGCCTCTGTCTCTCTCTCAGTCTGGCTGCCCCAGGCCCCTCCCATGAGTGGAATCGTGTAGTGTGCCACCTCCTGTGTCGGGCTCATATCACGGAGCGCAGCGCCTCAGGGTCCACTGCACTGTAGCAGCTGTTAAAGCTTCATTCTTTCCCAGTGCCATGTGGCGCCTCAAGGCCCTGCTATGGCTTCTCTCCAGTCCACTTCCTGGTCTCTACAGGGCTGGGCTGGTGTCTCCCCAGTGCTGGTGGAACAAAATTTAATTACAGCAAAAAAAAGGCATTGCCAGGCTATCGGCTGTGTCCGCCGCTCACAGGCTCTCCCTCTGCCTCCAGTGTGGAGTGTGCTCTGGCCTCCCACGCACCAGCCAGGGAGAGCAAGGCCAACCCCTCTTCCAGGGTGTCAAGGTGTCAAATGTTGGCGTGATGAGGGTTTGGACCCGGTGGGACAAGCACTAACAGTGAAGCCCACCAAGCCCCAGGGCTCCCTGGCGTGAGGCCCAGGGTGTCTCAGGCTTCCCAAGGTTGGATCTTGAGAGCCAGAGCTGGGTCTGGGGCTTGGGCCTAGGGAGGAGGGGGCGGCCTCTTGCACCCGAGGCCTGCATGGCTATAGAAGGGCTCCCTCCAAGAGGCCCCAGGTCTCCACAGGCTTAGGTCTCAAACCTGTGGCCCTGGCTTTTGCCCGGCCAGCCAGGTGCAAGGACACGGGCCTCTTTGCCTCCCCAAATACTATGGGTCTGGGTCTGCTCCTCACCTGGCAGAGGCTGCTGGCAAGGGATGTGGCGGTCTGATCTGGAGGCACCCTGGTGCCCCGAGGTGTGCACGTCCGCCAGCAGGCTGGGTCTCTCAAAGCGTGTGTTCTGTTGCAGCATCCTCCTGGACGAAGAGGGACACATCAAGATCACAGGTCAGTAAGGACAGCAGCCTCCCCAGGTGGCAGCGTCTCAGTCCTGATAAATTTGGGGACGCCACCGAAGCCAAAGCCCTCTTAATGCCCAGTGTCAGCGGACACATTTGGCTGAGTTTTTCATAGAATTGGATTAGTTACGTGGGTGTGTGTCCTCACGGTACCTAGAAACTTGCACAAACTTGCCAGCTTCCCTTGCTTCCTTCTCTCCTGCTGACCAAGGAACCTTCTAGCACCTTCCCTGCAGACTCAGCATCACTGGACATTTTGTGTGAGGGTCGAACGGCGCCCAGCACTGATCACAGACACCCACATCTCAGTGTCAGGTCCCGGCTGAGGTCCTTCCCCTCCCGCCTGCATCACGTCCATGGCACCTCCCCCGGTCCACCCCATCTCCTAACTGAAACCTCACACCTCTCCCGTTGCCCCCAAGTTCAATCCTACTGAATACCCTCGAGGCACATGATGCTCGTCTGTATTCATCTTCTCTTGCTGCCATCACAGAGTACCAACTTGATGGCTTAAGAGCACAAAATTATCTCATAGGTGGGGCCAGAAGCCTAAAATGGGTCTCAGCCGTGTTGCAGGGTGGTCCCTTCCCCGCAGCTCCAGTGGGGAACGTTCTGTGACCTTCCCTGCTCCCAGGAGCTGGCCACATCCCTTGGTCTGTGGCCCCAGCCTCCACCTTTTGAGCTAGTGAGGCCAGGTCTCCCCGTTTCTCTGACTCTGGTCTCTGCCCTGTGCTCTATCGGCCCACCTAAATGATCCAGGGTAACCTCCCCACTCAAGACCCCTGACTTAGTCACCGGCCGGGGCCCCTTTGCCATGGGAGGTAATTATTCACAGGTTCCCGGGTTGGGGAATATCTGGGGGCCCTGCTGCAGGGGCTCCTGCTGCCCTGGTGGCCTCGTCTCCATGCACACCTGCTCCAGTGTGTGTCCACTGACAGGCCACTCCTGAGCTAAGGCTTTCCTCCCTGCCTTTAGCAGCTTCTGCTGCTCAGGGTGCCTGGTTGACCCCGTTCTCTTTCCAGAGCTTACCTTGACCACCACCTCTTCAATTCAGCCACCTCCTCTCAGCCCCACGGCCCCTGGGGGTCCCACTGCTGCTCAGTTACCCACCCACCCTTCTCCCAAGGGGATACCACTCTTCAAGGGTCCCAGGATCTGGCAGGGTGTGCAGAGTGGCTCATGGTTAAGTTTCCTAAGTGCTTGTTAACGTGGCAGCATTAGCCATTTTAAGTTTCCAGGGAGCTCGGACACGAGATCGTGAGTCTGTACAGGACTGCAGGCCCGCGCTTGTGCCACAGTCAGTGCCACCATGTCACGCAGTCAGTCGTGCCTCCTGGGCAGCTGGCGGGAGCTGCCCCAGAGGCATGTCTGGTTTGCTCCACAGTCAGCACCTTTGTGCCTCCCAGTCACCCTTATCGAGCTGACAAGTAAAACTAACTCCTACAACTGGTCAGGGCAACTCCAAAGATGCTGATATTTCCCAGGTTTTCTCCGCTGCATGAGGAACTGCACATGTCATAAAAATCACACCTGTGCAGCGGCAGCTGGAGTGCATGTGTGCTGTGTCGGGTTTGTCCACAGGGTCGAGGAGGTTGGGCTTTCTCTGATGTAGTAATCATGGTCTCTGTTATGTATTCATGATCCCAAGTTCATATACATAGTAATTTGTAATTTTCACCAGGCACAAGTCACCAACAGACCCCAGACTCCAATGTGTGAAGCAAGTCCCTTAGGCAGTGAGAGAACCCTCGCATGGGTGTTTGACACTCTCACCTAGCGTGGGGTCCAGTTCACCCTCCTGCAGCCAGGAAGGGAGTGATACCTTACCTGCAAAGGCGTGAAGCCGGGAGGCACTGTTATCTCAGAGCCAAGGTGTCCGCTGTGTCCTCCTCCGAGGCACTGACGCACACTGCTGCAGGGAGGGGGGCCTACTGAGTTGTTCGTGGAGGGGGTGCACATTGCATGGCTGGTGCTCCAGGATACTCACGAGATGTCTGTGTCCCCTGCAACCTGCAGCCTTGGCGCCCACACTCCTTGAGCCACCTGTTAAAAACAGTCCTTCCCCGCCACAAAGTACGCTGTCCTGATGCACAAGGTGCTCCTCAGTTGGTAGATTCCTGGAGGAGGTGACTTGGGGGCCTCCGGGTCCTGGGGGGCTCCTTGGCTCAGACCCAGTGGTCAGAGGGATGCCGGCTGGCAGGATTTGCACTGCGATGCCAACCCTCCTGGGCCGTGGCTCAGCCCAGCGCCTCTCAGATCCTGACGGGCACTCTGCTTTCTGTCTAGATTTCGGGCTGAGCAAGGAGGCCATCGACCACGACAAGAGAGCGTATTCGTTCTGTGGGACCATCGAGTACATGGCGCCCGAGGTGGTGAACCGGCGGGGACACACGCAGAGTGCAGATTGGTGGTCGTTCGGCGTGCTCATGGTAATGCCTGGCCTGGCGCTCAGCCACCCAGTGCACTTGTGGTCCCCACGTAGGCTCAGACATGGGGAGCCGCCCAGAAACAGCTTGGCATGTGCACAGCCATGACCCTTCTGACTCGGGATGAGAAGGAAGCCCCTGAATGCCTGACCCCAGCGTTCCCTGGCAGCCTTCTCTGCCCGCTCCAAATTCCCACCATCAGGAAACAGAACTGGGATTCCAGTAAGGACACAACAGGCATCTAACCTCCTTTATGCTTTACACTCTTACTTTCAACAGGATTTTAAGGGATGCAGTGATTTCTGTATTACAGATGTTTTCCTTATTTCAAACACAAAATCCTACTAGTCATAAGATTAACATAAGCCACAATGTACGTGGAGTTAAACGTTTTTGCATCTACATCCAGAAACTCAAATGTTTAGATTGTGTGGTCACAGAACACATACCCCGCCACTGTCACCTCCAGGGTGCTGTCTGCTTGGCCCCTCCCCTGTCTGTCCCTCCCCAGCAGGGCGCCCAGCTCCAGCCCCTCTGTATTCACCAGCCCTCAGCACAGACCCAACTCCTGAGGCTGTGGAGGTTCGTTCAGCTGGCACAAGGCACGGTGTGTGCGTCGTCCCCGCCGGCTCCGCCCAGTGGCCAGGCTGCCGCTCTCCCACCACACCACAGGCCCTGGAACCACTGGCTGCATCCCACACAGCGGTTCAGAGGTGTCGCCTGGGGAACCTCAGCCTGTCGTTTGCATCTGCTTGGCACTCTGACATGTTGCTCTTGTAATTGCCATCTCCCATTGTGAGTATCCAATGCCAGGAGTGTCTCCACAGGGTATTTCCTAAGCACCATGTGACCTTCACCGAGGTCCCCATCACCACAGAGTCCCTGCCCAGTGAGGTCTGTACCCCGAGGAGCTGACTCAGCAGTGAAGGCAGAGTGACACCTGGGCTCCCCGCTGGCCGAGCTCAGCCTCTCGGGTCCCCACCAGTCCCGGGACCAACCTCAGTGGGTTTCCCCACTGATCGCAGGCCCAGCCTCACATGGGGCCCAGCCCTTCCCCATCCCGGAGCTACGGGAACACCCCCAGAGTTTGGAAAAGCTGACGTGGAGAGGCTGGCTCCTTGCTCTCCTGAAGGAGGCCGCTGGCCAGCATAGTCAGCACACCGGGAATTGTCTGGTCTCCTTCCTCAGTGGACACGGCATTTCTTACTGAATTGCTCACTGGTTTGGTGGAACTGCCCAGTCATTGTAGCTGAAAGGGCTACACAGTCACCATCTTGAAACAGCTGGGGAAGCGGTCACAGCAGTTCCAGAATTTTGTTTTACCAATAAGAAGCAGGAGGGGATGTCCGTGAGGACAGGAAATCTGCACAGCACTCAGTTTGCACAGCACCTTCACACCTGATCAGAACCCAAAACCAGAAGTCATGCAGGAAAGATGCCGCCCTTCTGTTTACAGAATGGAAACTGGTTCTCTGAGTACACTGTGGTAGTTGCTCTCACTTATCCCCACCCACCAGGCCCGTGGGCCCCTGGGGTGGCCACTCGCAGGCAGAGGTGGGGACTACTGCTTTCAGCACTTCCTTGGCAGCCCTGGGAAGGACTCCGATCCTCGTTTGCAGTGAAGAGATGGGCATGGTGTGACGTTCAGTGTCGTAGCTTACCTAGCCAAGAGGTCGGCTTAGGGCATGCTGTGTGTGTGAGGTGCCCTCCCCTGGCTTTGTGGGGGTGGAAACAGGGGGGCGCTCTTCACGCTTGAAGGTTGCTGCCCATCTTCCTACAGTTTCTTCATGGAGGAACATACATCCATATCACCTGATGACCAGAAGCGCCCTCCCCAAGCCAGACACCATGGTGGTGGACGTCCTTGTCCTTGAACAGAACTGAATGTGTGAAGTTAGACACTTTCCAGTGGGAAAGAACTTGAACAAATAGTGATGGACTCCTTGGCGATAGTAAATGACCAGTACCTCTCAGAGCATCTGGAACTCAGTTTTAGGAGGACATTTGGGTTGCGTTTTGTGGGTGTTTTGTAAACATCTCCTGAGCCCTCCTGATTCGTATGTAAGACCACCTCAGGTTCTTCTGTTTCTTAACCACTGGCTCTGGACATGCCCGGCTGCCACACGGGTGCCCGTGCGAATTGTCTTGGGGCCGCTGCAGTGGGCGTGCTGGGTCTAAGCCTGAAGGACCGAATGAGCCACTGCGTGGTAGGCGTGTCCTTGTCTTGCCAGGTCAAGATAGTGACTTGCTCTTTCTTTCTTTTTAATGTTGATCAGCCAAGTGACCTTGGGTTCTGCCAAGTGAGCTCCCTGTTCACGAGTGTTCCCCTCCCAGAACACCTCTCACCCCCGCTTCCGCACCACTGGGGTGCCCTGAGTGCAGTCATTCCTGTGCCCAGTGCTGGCACTCCCTTCAGATGGTTTCAGGCCCAGCTCTGCTGAGGTTTGGGGCCGGGCAGGTCGCTGTCGTGAGACTGCGCTGTGCATGGAGGGATGTAGAGCAGTATCTCTGGCCTCCACCCAGTGGACACCACCGGCCCCACACCCCCAGTTCTGACCATCCAGACCCTCTCCAGACATTGGGAAGTGTCCCCTCGGGGCAAAGTTGTCCCAAGTTAAGAACCGCTGCTTAGCTGCATCAAACTGAAGCTAAAGCCACACCTCCTCAGATTCCTTCTACATCTCCACAGCCTGCCTGGGTGCAGGTTTGTGGATGGGTCCCATGGGGTGCACCCCAGCCCAGGGGCTCGAGTGCGGGCCCCCACGGCGAGCCGTGGCCTTACCGGTGTGCCCTGCTAGCTGGTTCAGCCTCGCCGTTGTCTTGTAAATGATGTCTCTGGGAGGCCCAGCAGCAGTGCCCTGATTTCAGGAGATGCTTGCTGAGCAACATCACTAATGGTAGCACGGGAGTCATCTCCTTCCTCCACCCCTGACAGGAAGGGGACTCTGAAGGGGACTGGAGCCAAGCTGCACTGTGGCTCATGTAGGCTGAGAAAACTGCTCCAGCAGCACCTTTTCCTTCATCGAGAAGCGTCCTTGAGCCCCTGTGCATGCCCCCACGTTGGGTGTCAGCACATGGCTGGGGACCCCACTGTGTGGCTAGCTACAGGGAAGAAGGTGGGGGTGGAGGGCGAGATACACAAAGAATGTGGATCCTGAGAGCAGAGTCAAGGCTGAAAGGAGTCCCTGAGCAAATGAATGGAAGATCCATAACGAATAGGTGTCAGACACACATCGGGATGAGCACCATTTTTGTCCAGCGATTCAGCAGCAAGAGTCAAGTAATAGCTTTCCCAATTCACGTGGCCAGAAAGCCTTCTCCTTGAAGTAGAATTTCATTAATAGACTTGAAGAAGAGAGGGGGAAAGAAGGGTAGAACCAAAAAAGAGGATTTTCTTTGCTGATATGATTCTATTTTAATACATATTTTGTTTGAGCAACTTAGAAAATTTCATCCTGTTTTATCAGGTGAGTAGCTTATCTGGAGGCGGAGCATTCTATCTTTTTATTGTGTTTATCTATTTTTAGATTTTCTTCTGGACTCATTCTTGATTACTGATCACCCGCCATCTGTGTGCCATTCACTAAATGAGTGGATGGCAAATCTTAATGTGACAGAGCAGACTTCAAATACTGGAACAGTCAGGAATCTTCAAATATCTTTTGAAATTTTACTTTGAAAAAGCAGACTAATAGTATTCAGAAGGTCTTAAAATACATTCATTTCTTTACTCTTGTAATTTCACCCCTGGTGGCCAATCATAAAGATAAGTCCAAATCTTAGGACAACTTTTATGTATGTTTTATTATTACTTACAATAGAAAAAGGAAAGCATTCTAATTGTCCAACAAAAGGTAAAGTTGGACATTTTGGCATATCCACATATAAAGTAATGTTAGGAAGGTTTTATATTAAGCATTGAAAGTTGTATTCTGTGTAAAGTTGGTATACAGAACCTTATTTATGCTTTTTTAAAAGTTGAAGGAAGTACTACAAGGAAATAACAATCGTGGCTATTTTTGGATAATGGGATTATGGGTATGTGTTTTTGTCTTTCTACTTGGATGTATTTCCCAAGATTTTCATAATGCAAAGAAAAATACTTGATACATTTTAAAGGGGCAGAGACATGCAGTAAAGAATCAAGACTAGGACAAATGCAGTAAGACCCTGTCAACACCTGCCCTGGGCTGTTTTCTTATAATTTACAGACAAGAAGACACAGAGCGGGATCCATGCCAGCACATTTCAGTTAGATTGATACCACGTTTTTAAGAAAAGGACTAGTTGCTGCCCCCCACTTCCTTCCAGCAGAAGTGGTCAGATGGGCGTGCATGTTGTTCTGATAATGCCTTGCGATTCCAGGCATCTGCGTTGAACCCATGTAATCAGGGCTTTTTGTTTGAAAAAGAAATCCGCTCTCGGGAAAGGCTGGCCCTCAGTCCTGTCTGCATCGCTAACTCCTTCCTGGCAGACATCCCCTTGCTAGTTTCAGCATGTGGCAGCCTGCACTCCGGAGGTTATTGGTGCCGGATTGCTTTTACTGCGTTATTAATGGACTGAAGTCAGTCGCTGTTCTGCCCTGGCCCCCCGCCCCCAAGGCACCTGTCAGAGAAGGACGGGGTCCTTCTCCAGAGAGGACATATGGCCCAACTGCCACCGCTGCACAGCCCCCACCAAACCTCGGTTTCTTCTCTCCCAGCACTCAGCACCTTCCCACCAGCATAGCTGAATTGTCCACTGTACTGTCTCCCCAGTGACCTGCAGGCTCCAGAGGCAGTTCTGTTTGCTGGTGGATGCCAGCGTGTCTGCTGGTGCCTATGCCAAATTGAACAGATTTTGAGTGGAAACATGGACTTGGGGTGCATTTTGCTGCTGCACTGGCTGGTCTGAACTCTCTCTCTCCTGTGTTGCTCTGCAGTTCGAGATGCTCACGGGGTCACTGCCGTTCCAGGGCAAGGACAGGAAGGAGACCATGGCCCTCATTCTTAAGTGAGTAGGAGACGCCCACTCAGGGGTCCACCCGGTGAGCACCCTTAGATACCCAGAGCTTCAGTCTCCGGAGCTGGGATTGTTGAGTAGGCATCAGCAGTAATGGTAGTAATCCTTTCTGGCGTGTTAACTGGGAGGATGAACTAACTGAATGGGGTCCCTCGGGTTCTGACAAACCCTTCTACCATAGACAGTTTTCCATCAGTGAAAACAGCCTAAGTTGTCCAGTGGCAGGATTTTTAGATGTGGTGATCGGTGACCTTCAGAAGCAGAGCACAGATACCGAAGGGCAGGAGGGTTTGGGGCTCCAGGGAGAACACCGGAGCTGGCTTCCTTTCCTTATCTGCCTCTCGGCCCGCTTCATGCAAGTATTGTTGGCAGGAATTGTTTTGCCCCTGTAACTGAAACAACCATAATTTTCTGCTTAATTCTTATAAAGAATCATTTACCACACAAGTGGATCTTGCTCTTAAAGTCTTAGAAAGAAATCTAAACCCAGCGCGAGTCTTGCTATAACATCTGAAACGTGAGCAGGCTCCCTATGAGCAAGATACGGGAAGGGAGCAGCCTGGGAGGGAAGAAGCTGACCGGAGGGCGGACGGCTGCAGGGACGTGGCCGGGAGCCGGGCAGGCAGCCCCAAGTGATTGCTCCGCTGAGCCAGGGTGTGGGCTTCCTGCAGCTGGAGATGAAATCATGACGCTGCTGTCCTCACAGCCAGCTTTCTCCAACCTGCAAGTGGACACATAACTTTTATAAAATTTTCAGGTGCCTGAAAAGCTCAAGTCCTTGTAGATTACCTCATTACATAAACGGAGGGGGAAAAGTCAGTGGTGAGACCCCACCGAGAGGATTCAGTGTCATCCTGTATCAAGTGACCTTAGATCGGGTAACATCTGTAGCAACAGTCTGTTATTTTTGTATTGATTACCTCTGTCCCTTTGAATATGAAGAGGGAGTGAGATCTTTACTTTTTCTAAAGCTAGAATAATTCCCACCAGTAAATCCCAGGTGTGTGCTGGTGACCTATCTCTTGGGAGTGGCAGCATTTCTGAAGGGGCAGCACCAGACTGTGGTCCCATGGCTCCCAAAGTGTGAGCTGAGGGGGCCTGGGGCCTGAGCCCCACCTGGGGCTCACAAGGGCCTTTCCCAGGTTTTCTTTATAGTATTGCAACAGATTGGACAGAGTCGGGAAGGAGGACCCAGCTGTCTCCCATCTAACCAAGAGGAGACTCCCACATCACAGATGATGCCACTCTTGCCAAGGCTCTGTGGTCATTGTCTTGGAAAACAATTTCCATTAAAAATGTTACTGATGTTATTGAGATTGCCCTTGCTTATTTTTAGTGGCTGTATTATTTTTTAAATGAATTTTGCATAGCTATTGTAAAAATTTTAGTTTTAATTTCTAATATAGTCCTCATCACAGATACAACCACATAAACAAAAGCTTTCTGACGTCCTCAATGACTTTTAAAGCATCAAAGAGCCCTTAGACCGGAAAGTCTGCCTGCTGCCATCTGGGTCACACTGTGTGTGTCAGTGCTGGCCAAGCGGACGGCAAAGTGCTGAGGGAACCGGTTGCTTTGAGCTCGTCCTTCTCATCCTAAAATGCGACTGTCTTTCAGAGCCAAGCTGGGCATGCCTCAGTTCCTCAGCCTGGAAGCGCAGAGCTTGCTGAGAGCCCTCTTCAAACGGAACCCATGCAACCGGCTAGGTAAGAGCCCGCAAGCCCTGGGTGCCCGGGGACCACAGGGCCACCCACCCGCTGTAGCTCAGTGGGTGTCCCGCTGCACGATTCACCCCAGTCGCCAATGGCACAGGGTCCTGAGGTGGGTGGGAACCTCTCGCATGCAGCCCAAGCCCCAGGGATGTCCAAAGCACAGGGTCACTGCCCAAGGACCTGATTTCTGAAAGTCACAGTTCTTTTAGAAATGGGGGTACTTGCACCTGTTTTACTCCCCTTACTTTTGGAACAGCATGAGCTAAGGACAGAGTAATTGAAAAGCTGCTTCTGGTTTAATCTCTCTTAATCTCAACACACATTCTAATCAGGATTTATATGAATGTTAACTACTAACTCATTTTCAAAAAAATTCTTTACAGAAAGATTTCTCATAGCTGGGAATTTCAGTGGAAGTTCTAGAAATGTGTTTGGATATTTTAAAATTCCACAAATAATGCATCTACTGAAATCTGTGCACCGCCTGGCACACATTCCTCACATGAGCCGGCAGAAACCTTCCTTGTACATGTGCTAAGCGTGGTGAAGGGTGGTGAGTAACGAAGCAAAACTTCTCAGAGGCAGGAGGAGGTGGCCCGAACTGGCACCAGCCCACATGAGAAACTGGAGAAGCAATTAAAATGAGGCACCATTGTTGTCCAGAATGGTGGCAAATACTGTAGACGTTGGTATGGCCAGGTTGCCCGGGTGTGGACCCTCCTGTCCACTGTCGTTAAGAGAGCTAATCGGTGCAACATTTTGGCACTTCGGCAAAACCTACCAAAATTTTTAATTGTATACAATCTTTTACTGAGAAATTTTACTTCTAGAAGTCTAACAAAAATGCCCATGCCAGCTTAAAGTTGTATGTATAAGAAACACTTATGGACAATCTTTCTGTTTATCAAAGACCTGGAGGAAAAGTAAACGTCAATCATTAAAGGAAACTGCTGAGTACATTATGGCCCATTTGTACGAGGCCTACGGGCGGCCAGTGATGTACGCTGGGCTGCAGCCAGATGTCTGCACCATGGCCACGATTCGTCACGGCTGGGTAACTCCTCGTGGGAGGCCAGCTGGAGCATCGTAGGGTGTAGCAGCCTGGTCTCCTCCCTCAGATGCCAGTAGCCTTTCCCTCCTGCTGTGGTTGCAGCCCAGACTGTCTCCAGACTTGCCCCCAGAGCCCTACAGACACAGGCCAGAGAGATGCCAGGCTCTGTATGAGATGCAGAGGTGCCAGGCCACAGAGTCTGACCGCACTCCACGGTGCAACCCATACCTGTTTCCATCAGAGCAGGTCCCTGCAAGGGGCGTGGATGGACCCACACGGCCATCCCTGACTGCCCCCAGCACAGGACCCGTGGGTGCACCTGTTAGAGGCTGTGGTCCAGGGAGCAGGATTAGATCTAGCCAGCGTGGTGACCCTGCACATCTCATGGGGCTGCCACAAATAAAGGCCCAGAGGCTGGGCTGGACCAGGACTGGTCATACCGGCCAGAGGTGGCCCCCCTGAAGGACACTCTCATGTGGTCAGAGAGGAAGGCTGAGGCTCTCCCAAGAGAGCAGCTCTGGTCCTGGGCTGCCAACACGTCCAGGTGCCATTGGGGCTGCAAGTTGCCCAGAGGCCTGGGCACAGGGCACACCTGGTGTCCATAGCAGGGCTGGCTCAGGCTGTGGGATTGAATTGGTGATTGGGAGGAGGAACCTTGAGGGATGAGCAGAATTTCTGCCCCGTGTTACTGGGGCCTCAGCACATCCCAGATGGGACCTGAGCATGCTGACCAAGGATCGTCACGGCCCCTCCTCTGGGCTGTGATCCAGGAAGGGCCACTGCCCTCGGTTCTGAGCACGCACCTCCTGAAAGTGGCTGTACTGTGGTCCCCTCGGGACTTCTGGCCTGCTCCTTGGGTGCGCATGCCTCCATAAACAAACAGGGTTCTGAAGAGCCGAGGAGAGCTTCCCCATGTTCAACCCAGAGCTGCTGCAGGCAAGACCCCCACAGCACCGCTGAGCAAGGTGGAGGGTCGCCTCAGCCCCAGGTGTGCATACAGTGGTTAAGGGCATGGGCCCCCATGTCTGACCCTTTGTCCTGAAATTGCTGCCTTACCTCTGTTTTACCAAATGTGGGGGCGTGGGCCTCCCCAGTGCTCAGACCCTCACGGTCATCACTGTGGTTTCCGGGGAGGCTGTGAAGCAGCATTTCTCAGTTGTGACTGCAAATTTGAGACAGAACACACAAATGTGTCCCTCAGCTAGTCTGTGCACTGCCATCCCTCTAATGTGTCTCTAGTGTCACACAAAGGTCATAATTGTTGCAGTTTCTGGTCTGACTTCCTGGATTGTGAATTAACCTGTCATTAGTCTCAGTGTAGGTGTGACGCTGAAATCCCCTCCCACTCCGTGGCCAACTTGCCATCCAGTGGGCAGATCTTAACCCACGGCAGGGTGCTCCTGTCCCAGAGCCTGGTCTGCAGAGCCATGACCACCCAGAATGCACACAGACACCTTTGCATGCTGTCTCCAGAAATTTCTAAATCCATAAAGCCCACCTTGTCTAGAGCTGGGTTCACCAATCATCTAAATATTTGGTCCTCACAACTGCTGTGTTTCCCTGCCGCACCTTTGATTGTGACCCCATCCTGAGAGCTCTACCCCAGCCACCTAGGTATGGCTTCTCCACTCAGCCCAGAAGCCTGGCCAGGGGGGCCACGGGGGGCAGCGGGCAGCCTCTCATGGTCCTGTGCCTGGTTGGGTCTTCAACAAACCAGGCAAACAAGGCATTTCTCTTCCTGAACCTCCTGTTCCTCCCAGGGTGGTGGTGATGGTGAGCTAACAGTGGTGCACACAGTTCTTGCACAATAAAGTCACCTCATATAAACCCTCACTACAGTGCTTCAGAGGTAAAGGGAGAAACGTACTAGATTTGCTTATGAAAAGATGTGTATCCATAAGAATTGTTTTTAGCGCAAAGCACAGAGCACTTAAATTTTAAATTAACCCAGCTAATTTAAATTTTCGAACTGAACTCGTTTTTCTCACATTAACAAGCCATGTGGTGGCAGAGGGTTGTAACCATTGGCTTGGCCGGCAGCTGAACTATAGTAACCCAAAGCCCAGATCTGCCTGTCTTTGTAGTTTACCATCCTTATTGCACTGCCCCTTCATCCTCATTGTGATCATAAAATGGCTGCTGTGCCTCCAGCCATCACATTCATGTTGAAGGGAGGAAATAGGTGAGGCCAGCTGCATCTGTCCTTCAATCAGGTGATTTCTCAAAGCCCTGAGACTTCCTTGTACTTCTCGCTGGCTAGAAACCATCACGTGACACTTCTAGCTAAAAGGAAGGCTGGAGAACAAGTATTTGTCCTCGGGGTAGAAGGAAAAGGGAACCGGGAAAGGTTTTATTAGCCCGCCACCAGGGTCCGCTGCAGGGGGTATTCGGTGGAGGAGGAGCTCCATGAAGGCAGAAGTTGTCTGTGGTTCATCCTGTCTCAGCTCCTGGACCATGCAGAGAGCCCAGGAACATTTGTTGAACTGAGGTGAAATGAAAAAATAGTGTGTATCTTCCATAGGCTCTAAAATGCTTGGATTCTGGTTTGGAGACTGTCAGTGTCCCTGCATCATCACTATCCATTTCCTTGTGAAGAAAAGCAGAAAAGACAGCAGTGGTGTTTGGGATACCCTCCCTGTGCCCCGGGCCCAGCACACGCTGCACAGACGTCCTGTCTGTACACGCACAGTCACTGCGATTTCGTGCATGCACCCAGCATTCCTCTTACAAAGTGTCTTCCACTAGTGACTTCCAGCATCTTGCACTGGTTTGACATTTTGTACCTTTCAAAGTGCATCTGGGGTCTCCCGTGGCCTTCCTGACAGTGCAGGAAACTGCATTCACCGTGTTGGGTCTGAGCAGGGCTCTGTGCAGAAATTTCCCTGAAGAGTTGGTCTAATTTGCACCCACCCTTGTAGATGAAGGTAGAAATGTCTTGCCCAGGGAATGCCTCCTCTCCCTGTGCTCAGTCTGTGGGCACAGGGCAGCTCCTGACAGGCGTCTCCAGCCCCGCTGCACAGGTCCCACGAGCACCCTTCCCCACCCCAGGATGGCCCAGTTCACCTGCCCCCATGCCCTGTATGGCCCCCCACGGCCCTCCTGCCTGTCCCTGTGGTCTGTGCCACCGTGTCCACCCCAGGGCAGGTGTTTCAGGCATGCCTGTCTGTCAGGTGGTTGGGAGGCTTTGGGCTGACCCGGCCCCCTTTGGGAGACAGCTTGTTACCAACAGGCCCCGCATTTGACCCTTCTGTTTAGAGTCCTCTGGAGTGGCTGTGTGCCCACCTCGGGCTCAGAAGTGTACAGCAGGGTGTGGCTCTCTCCATCCCTCCCCACTCTTCTCTCTCCACACTGAAATCCCCTCCCTGCAAGGAGGCTTCACTTTGAACCTGGGGAACTCAGTGAGGTTCACTTGTCTAACTTACTTTCTCCTCTCATGACGAATACCTTCTTTCCCCTGTGATAGGGTCGGCCTGGGAGAGACGCCGTTCTTGCTGTTTGCTCACTGGCACTTACTAGAATCAGGCCCACGGTAATGCGTGGCTGCCGTAAGATGAACCCGGTAGCAGTTCTACAGGCTTTGGCTTCCCAAAACAAAAAAATACGTAAACCATTTACAAAACGCTTTCCTTCCTCCAGATCCAGGGAGAGCCTAAGTGCTGCAAACCCCACATGATCCCCTTCCCAACAGGCTCCTGCTCACTGGGACAGACCTCCCTGCCAAGTGCCGTGACGCTGGGGAGGGCAGCTGGGTCCCCGGCAGTCACAGGGGATACCATGCCCTTAAGTTCACCCATTTACTAGCTGGAGCAGGTCTGGTGCTGGGACCCCAGGAGCTGGCACAGATTTGCCTGCTAGAAGCTGGTGACCACCCCAGTAGCGTAGAGAACGGTGCTGTCAGTGCCTGGCGTGCACTTGCAGAGACAAAGGGACACGGAGAGAGTCC